ATCTATAAGAATGAGCAATAATGCTGAATCGATAAGATGCCAACGTGGTACTACCATTGCAATAAAGTGATTTATTTATATGCACCTGGGTAGATTTCAGCTATTTCTTTCACCACTGCCTCATCAAAGCCCGCAATTATAGCACCACCAACGGGAACCATAAAATTCTTATCAGTTGACTGCACGAAGGCATCTATTCGGCCAACAAGGAAACCCTAAGTAAAAGACAGTTGAAATCGCTTAATGCTAATAAAATTGTAAAACATTTTAGGTACCTCAAAACGTTAACAAATTATAAACATGTTACATATATGTAAATTTAGTTTATGACAAGCCCTATTATTCAATGAAGAAGGGGACATGAAAAGGTCAGGAAAAGCAAAGGAAAAAATCGTTTGCGCCAGCAATGTACAAGGCCAATTTCTTTTATAAACAAGGTAAAAATAAGCGAAAAGTAAAACCTGATCTTCTCACGCGGAGATCTTCAAGTAAAAAAGAATTACTGCAACTCGTAGCATAAAGGATAGTAATGGCAACAGAATGAAGTCGATCTTCATTCGAATGCTCCTCTACGGTTACGGATTTTTCAGTCGAGTCGGACTATGACTGAAAAATTCGAACTCGGGTACAAATGGCTGGAATGGGCTTCTAAGACGATTCCCTGGCCTCACGCATCTAAAAACTGTCCGGAATACGGAAATCCGCGAGAGCCTCAGTGTACAGCTGCTGCTTCTTCAGATCAAGAAGTCAGAGCTGCGGTTGTTTGGGCATTTGTGTTGCGAATGCCTCCACAAAGGAAGGCGAAGCAATTATTTCTTGCCCAGCTGAACGGTAGCAGGCCCAGAGGACGGCGAAGATTAACCATGTGCAAATATAAGGAAGGCGTTTTCTCTAGACTTCGGTTGTCTCATGCCGCAGCTCAGACTCTGGCACGTCGGCAGATCAGGAATGTTGGAAGCTCTGTCTGACGTGTCTACCTCCGCGAACCGAATGGAGAAGCGGTCACAGAAGATGAAGCTGCTCCAAAAACTCGGCGTCCTCCATTCAAAAAGAGAATGACCCATTATAAGCCAATTTCTCCTGTTTTCGTCATTAATTAATACGGATGCGGCTTCGTCCTTACATCCGGTCAGTTGGAATACCAGTGTTGGTCTTTACCGATCACCGAGACGGGAACGCTCTGACTGGATTTCAGAGTGAGGTAAGATAATCAAATTTAATACAAAACATGCTCGTACATTTTGGCATGATTAAAATGGGAAATTATACTGATTAATAATCGATATAACAAAACTTTCGTGGCAACAGTGGATGCAGGGTCAAATTACCTTATTCAAATCTTTGCAAATGCTTTCACACTGCAACCCGTACGCGTTATTTACCATGTGAGGGACGTCCTTATCGGCACATAATTTTGCCACGTCAGCAATCCTATAAAAATTAACTAAAATAAGCTATCATAATTAGGACAAACTAAACACAAATTCAATAGTACGAATCACATGTATTTCAGACACAGACATCAATGTTATAATGAAAAATGCAACTTGCACATAGTCATAAAAACCCTCAGAGCGAGCATCGTTCGAAATGTTGATAGTTTGCTGAGGCCATCAAAATACAGTAAAGTGTCGATAATCCAGAGCGTCGAAAATCAGTATGGCATAATCAGAAAAAATTTCTGCAGAGCGAGAATCATAACGTGATTTAAAGTGGACGCATTCGTATCTTTCCTTACTCCCCCCTCCGTCTGCAGTTGAACTCAACCACCCAAGGTAGTCACGAGCGAGTAAGATGTGGGAGGGACGAATTGACACACTGGCCATTAACTCTCCACAATGACAGGAGGGGCCAACGTCGGCGAAAGTGAGACTGCCAGTGTTGCTAAGTTCAGCTACTTGAACAGATGTGCATTTTATTGGTTGTTATTTTGATCATGTTTCTGCATAGCCCGGTTTTTCTTTACACAGGAGATTGATTTGTACTTTTTGGACTGAAACGGCATCGGCAAATTCTGGCAAGAAGGAACAACTTTTTAACAATCGAGAAAAATAAATAAAAATTTTGCAGAAAATGTCAAAATGTGAGTGTTGCATTTTTGGCAAGAATACATGGAGTGAGAACTTCAATCATCAGTAATTTGAAGAGAAAGAAGGACAGCTTATAGGAGCATGCATCAAACTTGGACTCTCAGGAGGGATCAATACGAACGGTAAATAATTCAGCTTTAGAAGATGCCGTGTATGTGTGGTTTACACAAAGAAGTTTAAGTGAACCGTTATCGGGCCCTATCGTTTGTGAAAAGGTCCTCCAATTCAATGAAAAACTGGGCAGCTCAGTAGATTTCGAGGCTAATTTCTGATGACTAAAAAATTTCATACTGAGAAATGACATAAGAGAACTCGAAATTCATGGGGAAAAATTATCAAGTGATTTAAATGCTGCGGTCACATACAACAAAAGGTTTCTGGTGATGGCTAGAGAAAAGGATACAGCAAAGATGATGCATACAACGCTGTTGGTGTAAACTGGCGGGCCTTATCACGAAAGTCAATATCTTCTCGTAGAGAGCAATCAGCTCCAGATTATAAAGTGAGTAAAGAGAGAATAACTGCGAAGGTATGTAGTAATGCAAGTGGAACCCATTCTTTGCCGCTAATGATCACTGGCAAAAGTAAAAAAACTCGATGGATCAAAAATTTTAAATGCCTGCCTATGTGTTATAAATCGCAAATAAGTACCTGGATGACTGCTGACATTTTCAGGGATTGATATGTGAATGAATTTGTACAGGAGTAAAGAAATACCTGAAACGGAAGGCAAAATGGGAAAAGTGCTTCGGAATATTGACAACGGCCCGACACATCCTTCAGTTGAAACTATGAACGCCGTTGACGACAATTTTGAGGTACATTTTTGTCTCCCAACTCCAGCCCATGGACAAAGGAATCACTGAGAAAGTAAAACAAATGTACAGAAAAAACCTTTTGTGCCGCCTGCTGCTGGCACAACAGGATGAAGAAAGTGTTGTGGCTTTTACGAAAGCACTGAACGTCAAGGACTGTGTAGACATGCTTGCGGAGACTCAGATAACCTGACGCGAAGATATTTGGAAAATGGATGGAGAAAACCGTGGCCTAAACAAGAGGAAGGGAAATAAAATCAACGTAGACTCGAAGAAGATGAAGCGACGTCATTATTAGAAAACGTTACAGTACTTTTAGATTCAATACCAGGTTTTGAAGATTGTGAAATAGACGAAGCGGTTGGAGATCGACAAAACTGACCTTGGCTACCAGGTCCTGAATGATGAGGAGATTGTAAATGCTGTAACCAATACCGAAACTCCTGAAAATGGTAACGATATGAAGACGTCGACAACGAAGAATTTGCCGGGCCGACCCAGGCTGACGCGTTTAATACTTTGGAGACTGCCATGAGTGGTTAGAAAAACAACCGGAGTGCACAACAACTCAACTTACCTGCATACAAGGAATCAGAGACTTAGCCGCCAAAAAACGAAGCACAAATCTTGTTCAAAAAACAATGAAAAATTTTTTCATAAAAAATTACAATATTTTATGTAATTTGAAATAGAGCGCTGTAGGAATATTTTGTAGGTTCTGACTTGTGCAGTTTCTTTCTTTTCTTTTCTTTCTAGTTTCCCAGTAAAATAATTAATTTGTATAGATATTTTTACATATATCTATGTATATTTA